TTCCTCTAGATTGCAAGATCTGTGTGTTTAAAACGTCCAGACCAGCCTAGGTGCAAAGACTCAAAAAGATGGAATTCTAAAGAGAAAATCCTTTGTAAGTGCACGTGTGTGGCTTGCAGCACTGCTGAGAACCTTCCCATATAAAAATCAGCTCCCAGCTCTTCCTCATCCTCCCCCTTCCCCTGGCTCTGCCCCTTGTTCTTGCCTGGCTCCAGCCCAACTTCTGTCCCTGTACCCCCCCTTCTCCCCCCTCCCCGAGAGCCACCAGACCCCCAGAACCCCCAGGAGGTGCATGCAGCTCATGTCCCTGCTCAGGAGCAAGGAAGTTGAAGCATGCCCTAGGAAATATGTGCTGGATTAACACCTGGATGGTTTGTTCTGGTCACAGACATGCTGATTTCTCAGCCAACATCCAAACAGAGCCCTGAGTGATAGGGCTGCGTGGAGGACGCAGGTATTTCTGGTGCTGGTCCTACTCCATTAAGCTCAGCAGTAAATTTCTTTGGCAGAGGAATGAGATCTAACCAAATATTTTCTTTGGGCTTGGTTCTCTTTTCATTAGCTTTGTTTTATGCAGAAGTGATGTAAGCAAGAGAAGAAATAATTTTTTTGTCGAATTCCTATAGAATTATTACTGGTTTTGCTGTAGGATTATTCAACTAACATGCTGATTTCTGGTCGCAGACTGAGATACCTCCAGTGGATGTCATAAACCCTTTTTTTGGGTGTGATCTTTCTGCATTCTTTACAGCAGGGGTAGGAGATAATGGGGTTGGAATGTCTTCTTGATTGTGCTTTTTAGTTCTTTGTCAGGCAGGATAAAACTCCAGCTAATCCTGCCATAAATTTAGGTATTCCTAATCCTCCAGTATTCCCACTTTTGTTCAAGCATTAGGTATGTGGTCGGTCCCGTGCCAAAAAAATAAAAGAAAAACTGGGGCCTATAAGCAGCTACATTAACAAAAATAATATTACAAGCTGCCCAGTATTGCTCGAGTTCAGATGGTTTTAATAACTCTCCCCTGTAACCTGTCTGGCTCTGCAGTCCTTGCATGGAGAGACCTGGGAGTGCACAACGTCTCTGCTGTGCCTTCCTGGCTGATGGGGGCTTTGCAGGCTGCTGCAAGGAGACCATGGCCACGCAGCTCCCAGCTTTGCTTTTTAAAAGCATCAAAATAGACAATGGGGGGAAGAAAAAGAAAGAAACAAGCAGGCTGTTTTCGATTAGGAGCAGCCCTGCTCAGCCTGCGCCACAAGAGCTCGTGTTTGCTTAACACTACAAATAATTAATCCTCTGAGAACGGATTCCTGGTCCAGGATAAGACAGCAGGGGCTCCTCCTTTCTCCCGTGGTTCTGATTCTGGTGGGCTGTGCTGGCATGTGCTGGGGGTGAAGCCTGTACAGTCAGTGGAATGGTCAGTGGGCAGTTCTGGATCAGGCTCCTTTTTGTACTTGGGTGTTGCTTAGTGGCTGCGTGTGAACTCATTCATCAAAATGACCAGGCTGACTTGCCTCACTGCTGTGGTTTATGGGTGCCAACTGCGAGCTGTACTGAGGGCCTACGAAGCTGGGCTTTCTTGACTGTATTCCCAACTTCTCCAGCTGTTCCTCTATGCACCTGAAGGATGGGGACAGCATCCCTACCTGCCCGACAGGAATGAGTGCTGCACTGAGAAGTGTCTGTGCTGTGAGATGCCCACATGAAGGATGCAGCCACGAGGAATTCTTATTGCCCTCATCAGGCCCTGCTGACGGAAGGGAGAAGCATCCCTCTGCTGCCTTGCTTTAAACAGGGCACAGTGTGAGGACATACAGACAGTTCAGCTCGCTTCTTTTCTCTTTTCCCCTGCAGAGAAGCTGGCCCTGATCCTGGTGCAGAAGAGCAATCCTGCTGCTGTCAGAGGAGCTGCACTGACATAAATCTGCTGTAAGCAGGAGCATCACAGAGCCCTGCAATGGACATTTTCCACCTTCCAGAGTGGACTCAAGCAGACAAGCCTCAGTGTGCACAGCTGTCCTTCTGAGATGGATGTCGCTATCTGCAGCAGGCAGCTTTGCTGGTAATTATCATGATTTCTGATAATTATTATTGATGATGGTAATACGTCGTCAACGAAATTTGTGCTGTGGCATTCCGGATTGTTGCAAACTTCTTGCAGAACAAACAGACCCCTCTCGTGAGGAACTTTCCAGGTAGCAAAGGAAGATGTGATAAATAACGTCTGTATATCCAACCAGATCGAGATGCGAGTACAGAAGGTCAAGCTTGCTATTCTGCTTTCACACCGTTTCTCCAGACGCTCCCGTGATAATAAATAATAATGATTACCTAATTAACTGTAAGGCATAATAGCAGCTTTCATCCCAGATCTTAACAACTCTTTGAAAGGCGGATTTTGCAAACGTGGGGCTGCAGCACAGGGAACAAACGGCTTGATTTTCATCAGCCAGTGCTCAGCTTGCCAAAGGGGCACCCAGGGAAGCGTGGAGCAGAAGGGGCTGAATTTGTGCTCATTGCAGCACTGTCCAGCACCTCATTTTTGAGGCTGGTTGTGCCACACAGACTCCACACATCCATCCTTCCCACACTCTGCTTTCTCGTCTACCTTTTTTTAATGCGGTCTTCCAGTGTCTTTGAGACAGATACACCTAGAAACTTAGATGTGGTTGTGGAGATCTGTTCATTCTGAGCAGAATGTTGTGTTCCCAGCTCACAGGGGCGACCTTGCAAGAGCAGGAATGCTCTGAGCACGGTGTGCACCCATGCTCTGCTCACAGGCAGTCATGCAGGCAATGAATTTCAAGACAACGTGCAGAGCGTCTCGAAACATTTGCAAGATGAAAAGTAAATTTGTACTGCCGTCCTGTCTAGACCGTTCTGTTTTTGAAAAACACATGTGCAAGCAGCTTATCTAAGACAAATGTGTTTGTTTTAGGTTTTTCTTCCCCCTCGCCGCTTCTGCCAAGAGAACTGGAGGGCTGTGGTCGGTGGCACCACCGTGGGATGACAGTAAGTCTGCTACAGCAAATATTGCAGTCGTTTCCAACAAAAAAAAAACAAATCTCACGTCGTCAGTGGCACTGCAGGTCAGGCACAAAGCTGTGCCAGCTCCCACAGTTGGGGTAGGAAAGGAAACCCAAGCAGTGCAGAGAGATGAAAATGATGGCTGACCGACCAGCCAGGAGCTTCTAATCACATTACTGCATTCTGCACACAGTGGGTAGTGAAGCAAAAGCTCTCAATGAGGGAGAGAAAGGGAGAGAATTGCTAAAGGAAGATGAGGATGGGAGGAGAGGGAGAAGCTTCTTTCTTTGTCCATAAAGCTGGTGACTTCCTTGCTTGGGAAATGAAGACCCTCTGACCTCCAGAGCTTTTTCCTTCCAGTTAAGACAATGTACAGATATTCTGCCAGACTTTGCTGCACCCGTTTGGTACCTATAAAGCTTTTACATTCAATTCTATTAGGTTGGCTCTTTCCCAAAGACATTAAATTCACATAAGAAATAAAAGCATTTTGCAGCGCTGGAGCCATTCTTATATACCTTAGGAAGTCGTAGAGCTTCACGAGTGGATGTCAGAGAGAAGACCTTCCCAGCGAGGTGTCCTTCAGGAGACCTTTTTCTGTAGGAAAACCATTTGCCACCAGAATATCTGGGGCAAGAAAAGGGATGAGCAGGGTGTGTATGGGGAGGGCTGTCTGCTGGATGGTGAAGAACAGCATCCTATGGGAGCAGAAGAACACACAGTAAGTGCATGTGTCTAGCAACACTGGGAGAAGAAGAAATACTTGCAGACTGGCCTTAATTGGTAGAATTAAGTGGAGCATCCACGGAGGGGAAGGGTGGGAAGCAGCTGTAGAATTAAATAGTACTGTGTACCTGGAAGCCCAGCAGTGTTGTAGGTGGAAGCAGCCCCTCCCAGAGGGGCTGTGCAAATGCTGCTCTCAGGATGGAGGAACACTCATGGCTTTGTCAGAGCCTGGAGGAGCTGTGTGTGTAAGGTGTGATGTTTTTGAGGTGCAGCAGGCCCAGAAATGCTTCCCTCCGTGCAGGGGTAAGAGACTGTGATTAAAAATGCACCCACAGAGAGGAGAATAAAAACAACAACCCAGAAACTCCTTGAAGAAAGATACTTATGTCTTGAGTTGTAAAGCTAGCCGAGCTCCCCTAAGAAACAGCAGTAACAGAATTTAGCTGTCGGAACCCAGAGACGCATTGTTCTGATTTAATAATTAATGTGGAGTTAATTGATGCTTTTACTGAACTGAAACAGGATAAAAGAGACCTGCTGGCCTGGACTCCATGCTGCTTTAAGAACAAGTTTGTTCTGTTCCCCCGTGCCCCTCTGCCCATTGCCTCCCCCCCAGAGCAAGGAAACAGAGTTTTCCTGCTTCCCTCTCCTTGCTTGGCAGCAATTTGCCATCCAGGCACTGACTTGGGAAGTTCCTGAGCCAGGCAGCAGCACCAAAGGATGCCTCCAAAAGGCAGCAGAGCAGACAGAGGGAGAGACAGGGAGAAGCTGGCTCCGTGTTGTCTTCAAGAAAGTAAATAACGGTCTGAGTTTATGGCTTGAAACGTAGTGCTTTAGAAATTAAGAGTCGTGCAGAGTGTATCCAGAGCAAGATGGCTTTTAACCCCCTTGGAGCCTGTGCAGTGTGAGGGAATAGTCTCAGTCTTGCTAGGAAAAATGGCATAAATTTGGTAGCAGCGTTGTTGGTAGAGAATGGGGTGGTGAGGTGGTTTCATATTAGGGCATAGCTATGCTAGTTATCAGGTCCCATGGGAGAGAGCTGCAAAGGCCTCCATCCAATTGCAGCCAGTGAGAATCACTGTTCCAATTGCAAGGACCTCTGGATGAAAGTCTATCAGCCTCTGCTGAAGGAGAAGCTGTTTTCTGTAGATTTGGGTTTTTTTGGGAGGTGCCAGGATGGATGAATATTGGAACAGATCTGCCCCCAGTTCCTGCAGTCTCTGCCTTAATTCTGTGTTCTTTGGAAAAGTACATCCCTGGTTTCAGCCTGCTGATGTACTCTGATGTGCAGAGTAGGGAGTTCAGCTCATCCAAAAAGGGCCAAAGAAGAGATCTGCAAAGGAATGCTCCTCTTGATTCTGCTGTCCTTCCTTTCACCTTTCACCCCATCTCCTACCATCATCTCCTACCTAGAAACTGGAGCAACAGCAGCAGCTGCATTTGCACATCTTCCCATTTAACAACTGCTCTTCAGTGGCTGCCTCTGAAATGCAGTTTTTCCTGCAGTTTTTCATTTATTCTCCAGGTGTGCCAACACAGTGAGCAGAAAGCTGCAGTCCGGGGCTCCAAAAACACACAAAAGCAGAACTCCTATAAAACCCTGACAGCACTGGGATCAGCAGCACAAGGGAGGTATGTGACACTTGTTTCTCACTTGTGGTTCGGATGCTCTCTCTGGAGATGGGAATGCTGGAATATTGGGTGCTTTGTTCTCCAAATAATTAGGGAGACAGGAGAGATTGCTAAGCTTGTAGGAAGTGCTTTTTCATCACTGTTAAGTCCACAGAACCACGTCCACAAGCCTGAAAACCACCTGGGATGTCTTCTCCAGCATATCTGCTGTCCTTTGAGTGCTTTTCCTTCCACATCCCCCTGGAGTCTTCATGCTGGAGACGTTTATTAACCACACTGGGTGTTGAACCTATGTCTGAATACACATTTAAAAGACTTAAGTGTATCATCTATGTACAAGACAAGCACACATGCAGCCCCCAATTCTACTACATGTGAACTGGAAGGAGTTGGGGAATGGAAGTCACAGAGAAGCATGGTGGCAAAGTGCTGCCACCTGCACTGAAAGTGTTGTTTTGGGATCTGGGAGCCAACGCATGTTGGTTATGGGATGGGGACTGTCTGCATAGAATGTATCAACTGCTGAATGTGCCATCTAAAAGCTGCTTTTAGAACCCAAAGAGATGAGCGTGTGTTATTTGGGCTCCTACTTCAGAGTCTCGTAGCTGGAGGCTTGTAAGGAATATAATCCCATTTCTTTAGGGTCATGTGAACACGGGGTGTATACAGGTACATCCCTGTTTATTAAAAAGGGGTATTTTTGGACGTGAGTTTCTGCATACATGGTCGAAAGAAAAGAAAGGTGTGTGGGGTAAGGAGCTGTTTGCGGTCATTTTTGCCAAGGAAACTAATTTAAGTGAAATAAATAGAGAAACTGTGGCTGTGGAATATTGTTATTTATGTGCAATCCCACAGTAGCCAGAAGCCCATCTTTTTTAATATTGCCAGTTCCTCTGGAGATCTATCGATTCTGCCTTTGGGTGAGATGCTAACCTGCACTTGGTGCTGCTCTTGCTTTGTTGCCATTTAAGATAATAAGACGCTGTGATTCTGTGCATGGCATCCATAGGAACGGAGTTATGCCAATATTGGTGGTTTCAGAAAATGATTTGCAACTGTGTGCCAAAGCCCTGCAGGGTTGGCCGTCCAGAAACACCGAAATTAGAAGAAAAGAATGACTCCATTGATCCAGTCTCTAAACTGTTCATTGTCTGACCTTAGGCAACTCATTTAATTCCTCCGTGCCACAGTTTATCTGTCAATAAAATAGGGATAATATCTATTTATCTCTTACAATAGGTTGGAAAATCTAATTTAAAAAAAAATGTTAGCAATAAGCTTTTGATCCCGTAAGGGCGGACAGCAAAGGATGGCATTATTTACAAATTCACATTTTCTCTTGCACGGAGTTGACATTGTTACCGTGCTATCTGGAATTAAGCTGATGCTACATAGCTCCCTGAAACAGAACTGGGCAGATTCACTGCACGTGGGAGGTTCTGCTGGGACTCTGCAATTGGAATTTCCTTCTCGTTTGCTTGGGCGGTTGGATGGATGCAGTTTGGGCATTGCACAGTGCCTGGTGGTCCTGCTTGGTCTGGGCACAGTAGGTGCAGCCCTGGGGGGCACAGGGAGGCTGTGCAGGTGGCCCTGGTTGGCTGCTGTTGTTCTGTAGGTGATGCTGTGGCTCAGTGCGAGGGAAGGATGCTGTGATTTGTAGGAAAGCTGGTCTGTAAGCAGAATAAACTGCAGGCCCAGCTGGAGCTGTGAGGTGCAATCAGGGCTGCGCTCCTTTGTAACAGCTGGATGGAAGGAGTGGATCCCTGAGCAAGTCTCCTTCTCAAGGACCCACAGACATGGCACAGAGGGCAGGCGTGCACCAAAGGGAAACAGGCAGAATCACAGCAGGCACAGAGGGAGAATTCAATTCAGGCTTTGGAACACCCAAAAGGGGATTAATAACCGTAATTAAAAAAAAAAAAAAAAAAAAAAGAAAGGAAAAAGAAAATAAATCTCCCATCCATTAGAAAATCCTTTGCCTCCCTGCAGGAGAGAGGAGACAGGGAGCTGAGCTGAATGCGGGATGCAAGAGCCAACTGCAGCCCAGTGAATTAGTCTTAACTATAGCGAAAACAGCGCTTGTGTAAATGAGGCCCCTCAGGGCCGATAACCGAGCAGTAAAATGTTACAGGAGGGAAGTAAGTCAGGGCTATAAACCTGGGGAGTCAGGACTGGGTAGCCGGGATCTGGAGCATAAAACAGGCGAGATTAAAGGATGACAGATGAGGGCTGGGAAGGATGCACAGATCCTGACCCGCCTGAGGATTGTAACTCCTTTGGAGGTGGGCTTGTTCCTCCAAGCACTGCCTGGTGCCAGGAAATGAGCGAGATGCCCACTGAGAACTTGAGAGTGGAAGAGTGAGGGATGGATGATAAATAAAAGAAGGGAATCTAATCAAATCAGCATTGAGTGTATTTGATTTAGGAGGACACCAATGAACAGAGAAGGGGAAGAAGGCGGCGGGGTGGGAGTTGCTGCTGGATGGGACCCGTGGCTTTGAGTGAGATATAGCACAAGCCCTAAATTATCATCATCATTATTTTTTGGCTGGGCTGTGTTGTGACATCAATACCAATTTACACTCTGGGTGAATAGCACTTACTACCTTCTTGTCTTCATAAATTGTGCATTGTCCTTATTTATTTGCCTCCCCTTCCCCTTCCTCTCCTCCTGCATTGCTTCCCTCCTCCTCCACGTGCTGCTGGCTCTCCTTGCTGTGTCCTTGAGCTTGGCATTGAACCCCAGTTTGGAACCCCCAGCTCCAGATATGGGAACACTCAGTTTGTATTCTTCATTGAGAGGAGGGTGGCATGCACAGGAAGAGATGCTGCTCTTGATAGACCTGTTAGCTTCTCCGCTCATCAGGCACCTGGTATTTCTGTTTGTGATGTTTGTGGCTCTCCTGTCTAGCTGGGAGTAGACATACTGACTGTTCTGAGTCAAAGCCTTCATCCTGACATCACAAGCTGTGCGATCAAAGGTCAGAATTTCTTACGCTCGCTTTCTGCCCAAATTTAGTAAACCACCTGACGTTGTGAAGTGCCACGAAAGGACTGCTGTGGCATCACGAGACATCTTTAAAGCTACCTTCAAGCATGGAAAAAGCAGGTCAGTCACATCACGGCAACCTCAGCAGTGCCTGCAAGCAGGTCAGCTATTTTTGATATGTCCATAAGACAGAGCTGTTCCATCTTCTCCCTGCTCCGACTACATTCTAATGGAGGAACCATGCTGCAGGCCACTTGCCTTCCCAGGGCATCCCTTCCATGCCTGTTGTAGTGTTAAAAAGGCACAGAGTCTATTGCTTTAGTTGGAGTGTAGCAGCCAAGGGGGAGCGACTGTCAGAACAGTGAGCACATTACCTTTGGTAACCACCAGGTATCTCTCTCTGCTGTTCAAAAAGAGCAGAGCTGGAGGGATGGAGCCCCTTCAGTTGCATTTATTATCATAGAATGGCCTGGGTTGCAAAGGACCACAATGCTCATCCAGTTTCAACCCCCTGCTGTGTGCAGGGTCTCCAACCAGCAGACCAGGCTGCCCAGAGCCACATCCAGCCTGGCCTTGAATGCCTGCAGGGATGGGGCATCCACAGCCTCCTTGGGCAACCTGTTCCAGTGCATCACCACCCTACAGACTGTTTTCTAGCTGGTGTGACTTTGGGCTTTTGATACCAGTTCCCACTGTGTGGCTTTGTAGGAGGAAGGTGGTCTGTAACCGCGAGCAGGATTTACAAAAGGAGAAGAAATGCTGATTTGGGAAGCTGAGAAGCTGTCATTCTATGGAGAGATGCAGTGGTTTTCACTGCTGCTTTACAGCAAACTGCTGGATTTTACACCAGAAAAAGTTGTGCACACGTTCTGCTGCTGTGCCTTTGTGATTGGACCGGTGATTAAATGAATGAGACAAAGGTTGTTTGGAAAGTGAACGCGTGCCAAGTTCCTTTTTCAGTTTCATTTGAAATCCTGATATAAAATTAACTGAAATAAATCTGGTTCAAAAGGGAAAACCTTCTTCAGTGAGTTGAAATCACACCTTTTGTCTATTTTTGGGAAGTCTGCTTTGCTGAGAGGAAAAGAGATTCAGATGATGCATGAAGAAGCCTGATGCTGGTGCCTGCCCAGAGGAAGCAGACAAAAGAGGGAAAGGCTACAGGAAAAAAAAGACAGAAAAATGACCTTATTTAGGGATAGCAGATTTAATCATCTCTGATAGAATTACAAGTGAGGAATCTACGTGCTCATCTCTTTCCTGTAAAGACTTTTTTTCCTTTTCCTTTCCAGTCTGCTTTCTCCTGTAGGGAATCAGTATGTAGACATTCTCCTTGGACAGCAGCTGTGTGATGGAACCCCTCACTGCCGGGTCGTGCCCTTGCATAATGCATGATAAGACAGTGGGTTTGAATATGCTTAACCCTGTACAGGTGCACGGGGAGGAAGAGGGATGCAAAGAACCTTTTTTTTTTTGTTGCTGCTTCTGTGCTTGGTTTGATTTGGGGGATGCAGGAGATGTCCATCTCCCTGATGCCCCGTGCAGAATAACATCCCTTCCCTTAGATGGCACCTTAGTGAACATTCTGGGGAAATATTGGGTAAAATATGCCATGTTTGATTTTCCTAGGCTTCCATTTCCTGCTTCTTGTGCCTCTTCTAGGGAATCTCCCTAGAGATAACGACCCCAGAGCGGTGTCATCCCTGTCTTCATTGATGCCACTGTCTTGGATGAGCATGGAAGAATAACCTGGCTAGATATGGTGGTTTGGAGAACAGCAGATAACCCCCTCTCCTGATCTGACTACTAAATCTCAGCCAACCCAGCAGTTCTGTGCAGGAATTTGAGGATGTGGCCCCAAACTTGGTGATCGTTAGGATGCTTTGCCTTCCTTCCCTGCCTGCTGGTGGATGCTGGGCTCCTGCACCGTGACCCAGGAGCACTTTGCCACCCATGAGCAAAGCAGAGCATTGGGATAAGCACCCAGCAGCCTGTGCTACTGATGGAGATG